TTTCCTCTCCCACAGAAATTAATATTGAGCCGCATCTGACACTCTATATAACAAGCAAATGGAGAGTAATAGTGAAAAATTCTTGATATATCAGCCCATGTTTGTGAACATATCAGCAATTACACCCTATTGTTCTAATTGAGTCCGTCAGCAGCAATGGAATGACAATTTCACCGTGTATGGGGGAGTACCCAAGTTCTAACCTTGACAAATGTCTATTTGATATGCTTTCATTTTTTGTGTGTTTTGATTTTTTTTTCTGCATTTCAGGAAACTCAAAGCAGTAAGCAATCTCTTTTAATTTTTATTATCATTTTGAACTAAATGCTTATTAAAAGGGGGCAAAGTTTAAGAAATAAAGTTACATGATAAAAAAGAGGGGAATGGTAGAAGAAAAGAGGAGAGGTGGGGGGGTGACTTATAGGTAATTACAATATCATCAGCAGTACTTAATTTTTTTTTAACCCCCCCTAGATCAGAAATAGTTTGTTTAAAAGACCTTATCCAGTTTAAATTTCTCAGATTCTCCATATGTACTTTACAAATACATAATTTTGTAGGCATGGTAGTATAAGTCTGCATGTAAAAATAAACCAACCATCAAATTAAGGGTTTTTTCCTATCCAATTTGTTTCTGTATCCCCACAAACAAAAGGAATTGGCTAAAGATTGACAAGGTTGTTCATGTTTCTAAATTAATTCTCTGGTTTATGAGGAAATGCAATCCTGAAGTCTATAAAAAGAAAAAAAGCAAATGTATATAAGGAGCCATCGCTTTATACTTTGTATCCCAAGATATGTCAGTTATTATCTTGAAATGTTGCTTCTTTCCTTCAGTGAAGACTCACCATCCAGAAGGCCTAGGGTAGCTAGAGTCAATTCATTTTATTACCCCTTCATTTCATGTGTCAGTATAGAAGACTGGTTAAGAACAAGATTTAGGAGTCAGACATCCCTTAGTTTGTATCCTGACTCCACTGATTATTAGCTGTGTGATCATGGGCAAGTTACTAAACCTCTCTATGACTTGGTCTTCCCATCTGTAAAATAAGAATAACAATAAATTGCCTCAAAGTACTGTAAGGAATAAGTGAGATGAGTAGGAAGTACTTAACACAATGTCTCATCCAGTGTCGCTGCCAAGTATTTTTCTATTTCCAAAATAATCATCTTAATATATATATTTTTGAGCACTTACTCTATGACAGCTTTTTTTTAAAAAAAAAAAAAACCAAATTATTTCTGACTCTCACAGCAATGCTATAAGAGGAGGGGGAGCACTCTCATTTTACAGCTGGAGAAACTGACTCAGAGAGGTGAAGAGACCTGCCTGAGGTCACACAGTGAATTTATGACTGAGCAGAAGTTGAAACAGACCCAGTCAACATCAAGGCCTATGCTCTTTCTACCAGACTGAGATGGGGCTCTCCAGGACACCCACTCCTATGGCATTGTGTGCCCCAGAGTGGGACAAAGAAAGAGAAAGCCAAGCAGCTTTGGAGGTCTCCAAACCTCCCGGTTTAGAATAAATCCCCCAATTATGCTTGAAGTTGGACAAGCTTTTGAAATCTCAACTGGACATTCTTTTCCCATCAAGTTCCTTGAAATTTCCCTTTAAAGAGCATCTAGGAAAAGCCACTCTCATTAGCCAGGGTCTGGCTTTATTTTCCTAATAAACAGACCTTTAGTCAGACAAAAGAGCCTCTTTTATTTTCAATCAATTCTTGAACATTTCAGCTGATTTTCTTCTTTTTGGCTTGAAATTGTGATCTGGGAATGGCTGGTCCTGCAAATTGTCCTCCTATAAGGGAAGCCCCTTGAGGATCCTCAACTTGTTATTTTTAATCACTGTAATCTCCCTGTCAAAGGAGGCCATGGTTAGAAACAGAGCAGGCCTTTCAGAGCTTTCTAAAGCACAATTATTGCCAAGGGAGGGGGGACAGGGGAAAGAGGGAGGGAGAGTAGAGAGAAGTGGTGGGAGAGAGAAGGAAGTCAATATAGTACTAACAACTTGGAAAAGTTTGAATAATAATCTCCATTGGAT